ACGTGGCTCTATATAATGCCGATGCATTTTTTTTAAAAAAAAACTTGTTCAATTATACAAAATTAAATTTCTGGAAAACCCCTTACTATTAAAACATTCCTTCTAAATTAACAAAAACTTAGAAAATTGTTAGAAACTTTTTAAATTTTCAGGATATTCAAATCAGAATTATTTCATAAGTAATCAAATATGATTTAAAAAAAATTCTGAAATTTTTTTAAAAAATGTTTTTAGCGCATGCACAGTATGAAAATATTACTTTAAATACATATATCTTTTAAACGAATTTTTATTTAATTTTCAAAATTATGTTTTTTATTATATAAAAATCACTTTAAGAGTTTTGTTTAATATTATTGATTATTCCAGCAGTTTTATTAAGAAAACGTAAATCAAAAAAAGTTCATTTTTATAAAAATGTTCATATCTCCATGAATATTTAAGATAGGTTTACGAAATTTTGTGTAGTTATTTCCTTTTATATTCAACGTAGTTGACATAAGTTACAAGTTTATCGCGGTATTCTTTTGGTATAGGATAGGATGTTCAAAAACATCCTTTCTCATTCGTAATATATATCGTTGTTCTCTCAAACCTCAAAAAGCTTCGAACTTTACTGATATGTATAGGAAATCATATGAATTAAGCACTTCTAAAGTTTTTAAAATAATTCTCTAAGTATTTCTTGAGAAATATTAAAAATGAGTTAGTATAGAAGTGTTTCATTAATTTTGTCCAACCCCTGTAGATTAGGGAGCATCAAGAAAACCTTTTTTTATTGATTCAATTAATGTATTTGTTTACATAACTCAAAAAACAGCTTAGTAATCCCACAAAATCCTAATAAAAGAAGAAATTTCACAATTTATAGTTGTTGTAGTTGTAGTTCATTTACGTCGCACTAGAGCTGCACAATGGGCTATTGGCGACGGTTTGGGAAACATCCCTGAGGATGATCCGAAGACATGCCATCGCAATTTTGATCCTCTGCAGAGGGGATGGCACCCCTGCTTCGACAGCCCGACGACCTGCACGCGAAGTCGAGCACTTTACGGTAAGACAGTTTAACGAGAACCAATACCGCACACCCTCGGTCCCTACGCAGACTAATCTAAGTGGACACCCACCCCCACACTGACCGCAGCCAGTGATGCTTGACTTCGGGGATCAGCTGGAAAACGTGTCTTAACGATCAGTTCACTGCGGGACACAATTTAGAGTTTTCAAACAAAAATTCAGGATTACGTAGGGACTCGAACCTGCTAATTCCACGCTTGAGAACTGTTATTGGAACTGCGATATTGTTCGGTCACGGAGGACCTTTAAAATTCAAAATTTAAGGTTAAGAAAGTTGTCACGGTAGTCACATACTGATCAAAATAAAATTTTTAAAAAATTTAGCAATTGTAGTAGTACTTTATCTACGTCGCCCAAGAGCTGCACGACGAGTCATTGGCGACTGTCTGGGAAGCATGTCTAGGGTTGATCCGCAGACATGCCATCACAATTTTGATCTTCTGCGTAGGGAATGGCTCTCCCTCTTTAATAGCCCTACGACCTGCGCACGAAGTCAATCACTTTACGGTTGAACAGTTTAACGAGGATCTATACAGCACACTCTCCGCAGTCTAATCTAAATAGTCACCCACCTGCTGCCAGGGATGCTTGATTTTGGTGATTTAATGGGAACCGTATCTTACAATCAATCTACTGGGAACCGAGTCTTATTATCAGTCCATTGTGGGGCAAAATGTACAGTGGGAGTCAGATTCAAAATTTTTTTCATGCTCTTCCAGAATGGGTGTGACATTTCTTTCTTTTTTCAAAAAAATAAAAACGTAATTTTTTTCATTTTTTAAAAAAAAAGTTTAAGTGTTATACAAGTTTTATTTTATTTTATTATTTAAGTTTAAAAGCGTAAAATTTAAAATGTTTGATGCTGTAAAAAAAATATTTTTTAAAATTTAACATTTAGATTTCCCAGAGTCTACAAGGAAATCTTAAAATAACCAGAAATTTATTTAAAAAAAACTATTAATTGAATGTAAAGATTAAGGGGAAATTTAAAAGTACACGTTTATGAAAATTAAAATTTTTGCGTTGTTTCTGGGAGACCTGAATGTGGCATTTCAAATCGAATTTTTCTCTTTCTGTTACTTTGCATTCTTAATTTTAAATTTTTGAGCCTGAACATTTAAATTTGTTTTATCTTTATGCTACTTTAAGAAGAAATTTAATAAGTTCTTTAACATGTGAAATGTTTTAAGGCCTTCAATCACTAACATTAAAGAAAATATTAACAAATCCATCAACTATTAACAAAAATATTTATAATTATTAACCAATTATAAATCATTTCAAAAACAAAATAAATGCTTGAAATTCTTTTGCTGCTCACTTAAACATTCGCATATGTAACATTTCAAACTTGACGTAATATATTGATAACATGGTATAATATATTGATAACTTGGCAGAACTTGGCATAATATAGTGATAAGCCATACTTTTTTTAACGGTGGTATTTTTACATCAAGGCTATTCCCAAGGATTATTTCTATATAAATATATAAGTGCCCAGAGATTATTTCTATATAAATATCCTTCAGCTGTCCATCGTAGGGCCAATATATAAAAATATTGGTCTAATGAAAACTAAAGGAAACGTTATCAACCAATATTTTCCCCTGATCGGCCCTACATAAGTGGTCAATTCACGCAATATTTAACAATTATCACTCTATAGATTTGTTCGATTTAGTCCATACTTTTCAATAAAAGCTTGAGGGCACAATAAAAGCTAAAGGGAATATTATCAACCAATATTCTGCCTCTGTCGGCCCATAGTATAAGTGGCCGACTCACTCAATATTTAATGGTCATAACTCCCCCGTGAATTTGTTCGATTTAGTCAATATTTCTTCACCACTATTAAGCTTACATAGAAACCATGGAACTTATGACTAAAAGAACACATTTGATTAATTTGAAAATTTAACTTATCATTACATTGCCCATATTCTGTGTAAGATTTGTCCGACTTTCTGGATTACTGTCATCACTCATACATATCTTATTTTTTAATGGATATTGATCAGTTCTGAGTTTACGTCTTTCACTGTTCAACTCCGTAGCCTTGTAATTTTAAACCCAATTCTGATGATAAAGGAGCTCCTGGATCAAGTATTGGGACAAACTAGAATTCGCGGAGGACTTTTTTGATGGAACTAACCAGAATTTGTGTTACATGGAGAGGAAAACTACCGATACATCCCACGGTTTGCCCGACGGCAAGAGGATTCTAACCCATGATCCGTCTACTACTGAGAATATTTTATGTCAGCTGTGTGGTCGGTTCGAATCGGGAGCAGAGTTCGTATCAACCAGCCACGGCTGGGATTCGAATCTGATGGCTCACCTGAATGGAAGGCGAATGCTCTATTCCTTGAGCTCTATTCTCATCTCACTCATACATATTTTATTTTATAACAGTCGTTGAACAGCCGACCCAATTTTTGGTTTCACAACTACCAATGTTCAACTCCGTAGCTTTGTAATTTTGAACCAATCCAGAATACAAGGAAACTCCTGGATCAGTACTGCCAGAGGTAATGATTTGTTATGGGAACATGGAGGACTTTGTGACTCGACAGATTTAACGTGCACCAGTCACCATTTACTACACGAGGAGTCTTCGGCTGGCAGGGATCGAACCCACGAACTCTTGGGCATGGGCCCAGCGCCCTACTGACCAGGCTATCCCGGCCTCACTCATACATATTGAGCCTACATAGGTTTGTTCGATTTAGTCAATAGTTTTCTTCTAATAAGCCTACATAGTAATCAGGTCTTTTTAGACTAAAAACGTTCTACTGCACAATTTGAGACAGGCGTTTTAATTTCAAAAATCTACTATAAGAGCAAAAGTAACTAGCACGCGAACTTTTGTAATGATATGAAAAGCAGGGGAGAGTGGGGTCAATTGTAACATTTTTTACTTAACTATTTTTAACTAACAAAANTTTACGACTACTTACGTTCAACTCCGTAGCCTTGTAATTTTGAACCAATCCAGAAGACAAGGAACTTCCTGGATCAGTACCCCCAGAGGTTTTGATTTGTTATGGGAACATGGAGGACTTTGCGACTCGACAGATATAACGTGCATCAGTCACCATTTACTACACGGGAAGTCTTTGGTCGGCCTGGGATCAAACCCACGAACTCTTGGATATGGGCCCAGTGCCCTACCGACCAGGCTATCCCGGCCTTCCTCATACATATTGAGCCTACATAGGTTTGTTCGATTTAGTCAATAGTTTTCCTCTAATAAGCCTACATAGTAATCAGGTCTTTTTAAACTAAAAACGCTCTATTGAACAATTTGAGACAGGCGCTTTAATTTCAAAAATCTACCATAAGAGCAAAAGTAACTAGCACGCGAACTTTTGTAATGATATGAAAAGTACTTTTGAGAAAAAGCGCTCAAACACTTATTCTTAAACTAAGTATATAATTTCTATTGCATCAAAAACGTTGTTTTTAAAGTGACATTTCGGATTAAATAAAAAAAATATTTGTCTATTATATATTATGCAGGACACGAATGTTATGTGTTAGCTAGATAAATTATAATACTGCGTTAATTGAGCTACCAGTTTTTATACTTTTGGAAAAAAAAATAGAACGTGTTTCTAAAATAGGCGCATTAGCTCCCAATGATCAAAACAATCTTTTCACACTGTTTATTTACTTTTAATCTTTTTTAAGTAGTAAATCGTCACCCGATACACTAATTGTATCACCAAGGGGATGAAAAGTGATATCTATTTTCAGTTCATCTTAAATCATTAAGGCGCTCTTGCGCAATTACATAATCTTCTGTCGCCATCATCTCGGAAATCAGGACAGGTTGATAAAAAATGATTAGCCGGAAGAAAGTGAAAGTTACTTTCCTTTTACTTTCACCTGCGTGAATTATAACATTTTTTTTTTCTTCTTCATCTTCACTTCAACCCATTCAATTTGATACTTTCATTTGATCTTTTTTTATAATTGTTTGATTATTTGTCTCGCCCTTTATTATTGTAGCACTTCCTTCCTAACTGACCTTCTTCCAGAGCTTCCACAACATTGCTAAAGAACCTGCTTTTGTAGGGTGAAGTAGTTTAGGAAATAGTTCTGAACCACTTTTGTTGTTATTTAGTTTTTCTCGCCTAGGTTGCTGATATCTGAGGGGACAATATGTATATAAAGCTGAGCGATTCAAAAAAGAATTCAACAGTAGACAGAGAAATCAAATCGCGAACATGAAATCTATGGTGAGTCTCTATTGTCGTTTAAGTTATCACATTATCGAATATAAATACTTAATTTAATAATGTTTATTCTTTCGGCTTTGAAGGTGCATTGGCATTACTAGGAAATTTTTATAGGGTGGAGCATAACCCCTCAGTCGAAAGTATAAATTATATTTTATAAGAGAAAGTCAAAGTATAATTTGGTAATGTTTATCCGAAATTTTTAAAGGGTGGGTTATTCCTCTAGGTCAAAAGTATAAAGTGTATTTTACATGGGAAAGTCAAAGTATAATTTAATAACCCTTAACCGTTCGGCTTTGACGATGTATTGTATATTTTTATAGGGTAGGCCGTGGCCCCACAGTCTAAAGTAAAAGTATATTTTGTATGGGACTTACTTCAAGCTTTTCTCAATTAGTTATTTAAAACTGAAATTGGCGAAACCAAATATTTCTAGGATAGTCAATCAAATTTCCAAGGTGAGCCACCCCCAATTTAGTTGTGCAAATATTGATGTATCTCAGCTCTTAAAGATCCAGGCCGCACGACTTTGGGGGTTAAATATTAACCAAATATGAGCATAATGTAAGATATTTATTTTTAAAAGTTAGAATTGAATAAAAATTTTATTTTCTGAAAGCTACCTTTTAATATTAAAAATGTCCACTACAAATTTAAAATTATATTTTAAATTTAATAATTTATTCTAGTGCGTGTGGATCATCATTAATTTCATAAAATAATGAGGTTCATAAAGAAATAACCTGCCCAGCACTTTTTACGTTTTAAGCTATTTATACATGAAAAAATAAGCACTTTTGAAATGCAAATGGAATACGTATAACTGAAATGATTAATTCAATGATTTATCTTGAAATCTGCAGGTTAAATTTTGAACGACTTTTAAATAAAAGTAATTATGAAAAATCCATCAAAATATTTGAAAATTAAGTCATTATTTCAATCGCAACTATGTAAGATTTCAGTGAAAAATATGCAGCGTGAAATTCTAAAAACACCCGAATTCTCGTGTTTTACAACGATCGGCTGTAAATATCGAACAAAACCTTGTTTTAGAAATTTTTTAAATTCATGGTATTCACTGAAAAATGTGTTTTATTAACAGCTTCCATAACATAAGAAGCTAACATAAAAATATTTCTGTGAAAAAAATGTGTCACGTGAAATTTTAAAAACGCCTCAATTCTTGCATTTTAGAGCCATCAGCTGTATAAGTATAGAACGAAATTTTTTTTTAAAATGTATGGTATTTATTGAAAAATATGTTTCGTTAGCAGCTTTCAAAATTTATATATAATCTTAAACTGATTTCAAATTCACTAAAATCGCACTTAATTCCTACTAAGCTCTTCATATCACCTGTTCAAACTAGCTAATATTTTAAATACTGCTATTACTATATATATTATGTAAATATTGCTAACTTAACAGAGGGCAAAAATGATTCATATAGCTAAAGTAAAATGTATGAATGCAGACATTTACAGAAATATAAAGCAAAGAGTGAAACAGGCACTAGAATAGGCAAAAATATAGGCTTCTGGCAGAAATAGTTTTAGCAAAATAGTTACATATTTCAAATAGTCATTTAAAACTATAGACTAATTTTATTGCATACTATTAGCTATCTTTATTAGAATTAGGGATAACGTGAAAAAACTAGCATAAACAAACTTTATAGTTTTCTTAAACCTTCTGCTCTAATAGACTAGTTTTGATTTCAGTTGGTAGCCGTTGCTTTCTTTTGCCTCGTGAGTGTGGCTTTGTGCGGGTCCCATGGTATTTCCATAGGAATTCCTCTTCCCTTCATCAAGCTTCGTTTTGTAGACATTGCTCAGCTGTTTGGAGGACATGGTGGAGGACATGGAGGAGGACATCATGGATTTGGACTTGAACTAGGAGGACATGGTGGACATGGAGGCTATCATGGATACTAAAGCATCGATCGAGGTGAAATGAGTAATTTGTTTATTGTATTCTGATTATTTCTCTTTGTTACACATATACTCTACATGGGATTAGATTAATGTTAAAGAGAATTTTTTTTAAAATGGATAAAATATGCATCAATAATGAACATCTATCATACTTATGCTAATTTGTCCTTTAAAAGTAAATAATTTTTATTAAAAATCCATAAAGCAGAAGAAAAAAAATTTAAAAAAACAACAACTTTATAAGCTGATATATAATCATCAAAAGCATACACATGAAGTTAAAGAAAAAAACTGATTTAACTTTAAAATATTTTAATGAGACCTGAAAAAATTAAACGACTCTTTAGACCAGTGGTTCCCAATTTTTTCTACTACGGAACCCTAAATGATTGATCATCTTTTGACGGAACCATAATTTTATAAATAAAGTTTATTAAGGTGATTGTGAACGTTATAACCTAAAAAGAACTATTTTTAAAAAATATTTAATTAGAGGAAAGAAGTTTTTAATCGCTTTATCATTAATAATCTTAAATTCGATTTTATGTCCGACAGTTAAATTTGTTGTCCTGGTATTATATTTAGTCGTTGTTATAAATTAATTTTTCATTTGTAATAAGCAGAAAATTAATAAAATAAGNATATTTATATAAAATATTCTATAATTATTTATTTTTTTCATAACTCATTCAGTATATTATAAGAAATATTATATTTTCGTTTAAAAAATGACATTTCTATTTCATTGGCATTTTACTTGAAATAATTTCATAAAGGCAACCGAAAGATTGAATTATAGGTTTAACGTTTTAGGGTTCAACGAAACACCATTTGAAAACCACTGCTTTATACTGTAAGTGTTTGGATAGGAATATAAAGACAATTGCAAGCTTGTATGGAATTTTTTTTAATGAACTATATATCTTTTAAGAATTTTATTTTAACCGAAAGAAAAAATTCAAAACGAACCATAAGCATTATTTACAAATTGTTACTGTATTTAAAGTATTAATAGAAAAGCGAAATTGCAAAAACATACAAGTTTAAACAATCTTGCACAATGTTGCTTACTTTTAAATTTTGATAGTTTAATTTTTGGAATTTCAAAGCAAATATTTAATACAGATTTCTTTTTTTTTTCTCTCTTTAAGTATGGCTTTATGAATGGAAGTAGTTACAAAAGCACATAAAGAAAGGGTACGAACATGTACCTTACTTTTAATATGGTATTTACAACTATTTAAGGTTTTAATAATTTTCAATTGTATAACACCAATTGTGAGGTTTGTGAATATTTAATTCGCGTATTTTTTTCCGTGAATTACCATCTAATTTATATAAAAAAAAAATTTAAAAAAAATGAATGACAGTTGTCAATTTCAATTACGGATTTTTTTATATGTTAACTTTTTTTTACATAAATCGGTCAAACTTTTTAAACATCTTTTAATTTATTAAATACAAAAAAACATATCATCAAAGAAATTAGAAATAATGAACCAATCTATATTTGTCAAACCTGAAAGAATAATGAATGAATAAAAATAATCTTTTCGAAAATCGTGATGGAATTTATTATCAATTATTATTCAACTCACGTTTTACGTTTAGGTGTATATTTATCTCATTTTAGATCGCTTGAAAACAAAATTATACCATTCATTTAAGTTTTGCCTCTGTTAGTTTGTTCATGTCAGAAACTGATTAAAAATTATATCGATAATAAGTTTTGCATGAAGCAGTTAGGAAATGATGTAAACTCGAATTGCTCTCCAGAACTAATCAGCAGTTGAAATTTAGATGTTCCAGCTAGTCGGAAAGTGGTCGCATATCTTTCAATGTTTGAAGTTTCCACTTGTAAGAACTCGAAACAAATAGAAATTTTATAAAATTTTTTATTAAAATTTAGCAGTGGTATTACTGTATTTACGTTGCAATAGATAATCACAATGGGCCACTGGAGACTGTATAGAAGCATTCCTGAGGATGATCCGAGGACAAGCCATCAAGATTTTGATCCTCTGCACTCTGCAGAAGGAATGTCTCCCCCGCTTTGGTAGTCCGAAGACTTGCGCACGAAGTCGAGCACTTTTCAGAATGCAACTTTTTCGTTTTGTTTTTAATATTTCAAAACTATTTTTAAATATTGTTAGTGAGCAAATATCTAAAATTGCAGAGGAGTTTATAAAATTGAAACATTTCGAAGAGCCCTCATGTTATTGAATGAAAAGTTGCACAACAGTGTTTTGCTTTTATGATAATTTTTACAAAAATATTGAGGGACGGTTAAGATTTTTTAGAACATCGTGGCAACCGCAATATGCAGACCCCGTTAAAAATGTATATTGTACGATCTCTAAATTTTGCAAAGGAAAAGTAAGTTAAGAAAAAAGTTGTAAGTAAGGTTCTTTTAGACTCATGAAGAAAAATGTTGAAGACACGTGACTGGAGTAAAGAAGCGCGATAGAACAACAGCGATTATTATGCGAAACAAGGTCATTCAACGGTAATTAGTCTAATTCATCAATTAGATTTCTATTCTACTTTTTAGAAGCTGTTTAACAGTCATGTTAAACACGTGGTTCACCAAAGGTGCAATAGAAGGTTTCTTTCTTTCCTTCAGATAAATAAGTTTTGATTTAAAAATTACACTTAATCCTTTGCACTAAGAGATTTTTTCAACAGTTAAAAACCGGACCTAACCACTAAAAGTTTAAAAGACAAAACAAGGTGTTTTCAAACTTGCCGCAAAATATATATTAAATTAAATTAGATTTTTAGTGAGTTTCTTAAATTTAAAAATCATTATTGTGGTATTTATAACTTCTGTTATATTTTATAGTGGTTTATCATATAGCTGTTATTAATAATCTCTGTTAATCTTTCTGTCTTAAATGTCGTTTAACCCCTTCGGAACGGGCAACTTATGAAAACATTTGTACAAAATCAAAATGGGAAAAAAAATTAAAGTCGGTAGCTTAAAAATAAGGCATTGCTAATTTGCATTCAATTTAAATAATGTTAGCAGGGATGTCAACTGCTCCGCTTTATGCAAAAGTTTTAATAAATTAGAAGGAATAAAACGCTCGCCTCCAAAGGTTCGTTGGTCGATACGAATTCCGCACCCGGATAGCAGTCCGTTGGGGTCAGGCTAACCGTGGGAGGTTTTCGAGATTTTCTTCTCCATGCAAAGCGAATGCAGGTTAGTTCCATCAAAAACTCCCCCACGAAGGCAAATTTCTCCCAATATTTGATCTAAGAGTTCCTTTGTCTTCTGGATTTGGTTCAAAATTACAAAGCTATGGAGTCGAAGATTGGTAGTCGTAAACTCAAAGTTTGTTACAAAACAAAATATAAAATAAATTGGTAGCGAATTTTGAAATTTAATGATGGAAAAATTACTTAAAATAAAAACTGTTAAATTAAAAAAAAAAAAAACTTTGTTACCGCTGGAAAATATTTTTTTACGAAGCGGAGCAAATTGGAAACTCTGTGTTAGTCTAATCAATGTCAGTTCAAACTGTAACTATATAATTTTTATTTTAAAGAAAGTAGTGGGGAATTAAATTAATCAAACTATTATAACACCGCCCACAAAACTGCTAAAGAAATAATTTGGCTACCAGTTTAACTTTTTACCAGGATTGATAACTTTTCACGCCTGCAAGTACTTTTAACAGTCGGCGTTAACTGCAACAATCTATATTTAATCTTTGTTAAAGAACAGTCCACTACAATTAAAATTACAAATCTAAAACTATCATTATATCCAATTATTACCTTATGTCATTTTAATAAGTTAACTTTGGCATTTTATTTCATTTATTTTGCCAATTTAGACTCTGATATGAACATTAGTACTTAGTTATGCCTTTATTAGAGATCAAGTTTGATATGAGAAACTTTATCGTTTTATACTTGATTGATTTTGTCTTGCTTCATGGGAAAGTTCTCGTGAACGAAACTTTAATTTAGAATTTTCAAATAACACTTTGCTCGTGATGTTTCAAACATAAAAACATACAATAAAACATAGAATAAAAGTTTAAAAATTCAAACTATTCCCAAATTGATTCAAGAAAATGTCATGTTGGATCTTTGAAAGCAATCAAAATATCCCTAACTAAAAATAAAATGATGACATTTCTTTTAACGTTCGCACAGTACTTATTTTTGTGTAATGCATATATAAGTTCTAAAGAATTAACTTTATTAATCGATTCAAACGATTTGTTTTATTTCTGTGGGAATTTTATCATGTATTAGAAATACTTACAAAATTTCTGAGAACTTTAAAACCAGTTCAGATTTTTACATTTGCTTATATTGTATAATTTAAGAATTCAAATTTCGTAAATTTTAACTCTATTTTTTATTGATTCAGATTCCGAGTTATGCAAATTTTCGGTAATTTTTTCCAGACAGCAATAAATTTTAATACTTCTTACAACAAGACAAATAATTCATTAATCTAAAACCTTATTTATAATTTTAATATTTAAACTGATTTTAGTATTTAAGATTCATTATTTTCAATTATCTACGTAAAACAGCTCATGTAGTTATGCTTTTCTTTTTAAGTAATAAAAAATCTTTCTTTTCTCTTACAGAGTTGAATGAATAATGTCAACTAGAACAATACCTCAGGCGAAGAGGATAGATGGGAAGAATGTTTATATTTTGTACATAAGCTATCCACTTTCATAAAAAAAATCTTCATTGTAATATAACGAATCTCTTCACTCTTCTTGAATAAATGCCATTTGTTTTTAGAAGAAAAAGTTGTTGAATTTTATTTGCGAATAGCATTATTAATTTGATTAATTAACTTCAGAAACACAACTGCAACATTTTATTCTATTAAAAGCCTCCTTTTATAAAGTAAAAAGCATTCCTGTTATAGCTCATTGAAGACAAACGGAGTCATGGAAGTTGAAGACTCAACAATTTCGTGACCAACGGCATGATTGGAGAATTGTGGTCAGTATTGACCATCGACCGCCTTTACTTCCCAAACCAGCTGGTGCCCATCAAATCACAAGCTGGGATCGGACCACAATATTTAACAATGACAACACAACGCCTTAACCAATATGCCGTGGCTACCAAAGAGCAATGTTCAATGTAAACAATGTTCAATCTCACTCTCACCCATTTAAGTAATAATTTTAAAAACCTTACGTTTTGAACGTTTACAAACGACCCAGGTGTCGGGGTTGAACAGCCGATACAATTCTGAGTTTACGACTATCAATGTTTAACTCCGCAGCCTTGTAATTTTGAACCCAATCCAGAAGACGATGAAACTCCTGGATCAAGCATTGGGACAAATTAGTCTTCTTGGAGGCTCTGATGGAACTAACGGGTATTTGCGTTAGAGGAAATCCTCGCACAGTTAGCCCAACGACAAGGGGATTCTAAGCTATGATCAGTATACTACTGAGGATATTTTATGTCAGGTCAGCCGGCAGCAAAATTTGTATCAACTAGCCACTACTGCGATTCAAGCCTGAGTCACTTCGTTGGAAGTCAAATGCTTATTCCCGGAGCCACTGTGGCTCTGTGGTCAGTATAGACCATCAACCGCTTTACTTTTAAAACTAGCTGGTAACCATCAATGTTAGATGGGCAATAAATCACCATCAGGGATAGAACCACAATATTAATCACTGAACCATGGCTACTAAAGCGCTGCGTGAAAGCAATGTTCTATCCCACTTGCAGCCGTTTAATCAGAAAACTGTTTTTAAATCTAACATTTTAAGCATTTGCCATGCAAAAGAAATGACATATTCAGGAATCAAAACTTCCCCCATTTCATTATGGCAAATACAGTTTATACGATCTTGAATCAACCGTTCTTTCAAACTCAGTATAAAACACTCTTGAAATTTTCAAAGTGGAAGTAAGAAATTTGCAACTATTATAATATCTGTATCTTAAAGCTTGAAAAAAAAAAAAAACTAGGAATCTTTTATCTAACTAAGGCTGTTCATAAACACAAAAAGCATAATTTGCAGTACTTTTCAAGAATTTTAATAACTTAATTTTCATTTTATAAAAAAAAATTGACTTCAATTTCACTAATAAGTGTCTAGATAAAATAAGTGTACAGATAAAAAATTTTGTTAAAGAAAAACACGAATTCATGAATTAAATGCTTTTATTTAAAATACAGTACATTTATTTTCAAATTAGTTTATTCATTGCCAACATTTGTTTTTTAGATTAGATGACAGACATTATTTAAAAAAGACAAGCTCACTGGATAAAATATAAGGCACCAGAAGTCTATTCCCTGCAATTACTGGTACTTTGCACTTGTGAAAAAAAAGTTAAGTATCTAAAACTCCAAATGTAAAGAAAAAGCTCTGCATATAGAAATGTTGTAATGTTTACATAGACTACACTGTTTACACAAAAAATCATCTTATGATAATTCATTNAGTAAAACCTACTCAACACTCAAGTGATTATTTTGGAATAATATCCCAAATAATTATTTAATATTAATAAATAAAAACAAATGAACAAAACATGAAATCACTTTTTTATATTGATTTTTGTTTCAATGCTAATTGTTTTGTTTCAATGCAACGGGCATGGCCAATATTTCATTCACACTTGTAAAATGAACCAAATTAGCATGCTGACTACCAATAGAAAATAGTATAACTTACCCAGTAACCAAGTTATCCTTTGTAATTAATACTAATAATAACTAAGGATTTATATTATTTCAATACTACTTTTTAACTAAGTAAAATCAACTAATTGAAAATATGAAAACTTAATACCAAAAATTAACATTGTTCATATAATAACTTTGCTTTGATGGTTAAAGGAATAGGAAATGATTTGTATACATGGGGTACATATAAGTTAAGTAGCTTGTAATACTATTCAGTAAACACTAAAAATTTTCCTTTTAAATAAATAAACAAAATTTTTGACATCTTCATTATTAACATTTGAAAAGTTCAATTTTACTTGCAAAATATTTTTTTTAAAAATCGTGAATGGAAAATTATGAACAAAATTGCAAGGTTTTTAGACAATAATAATTATAAAACACACAAATAAATTATGACAATAACATGTTGTTAAGAAAAGAAAATTTTTTTCAATTGGATCATAGTGTCTTTAGGATTTTGCACAGTATGTCCTATAACTCTCTTATCATGAAATAATTCATAATCATTTCCACCTTCTGAAGTTTTATCACCAAAAAAAATATTTTCTCAAAACCATCTTTCTCAACGTAATTTAGGCAAAATGTTTTATCCCAACCAGCAGAAAAGCAATCAAAACTAATCTGTCCACCTAAAATATTAAAATAGACAATATAGACAATTCTGTACAGTTAAAAAAACATTAAAGGTTTCAAACGTTACTCTTGGCTAGAAACCAGGAATGCCTTTTGAAATACATATTAATGAAAACTTATGAACATACATATAATTGATATGTTAAAAAATAATATCTTCATTAAGAAGGTAAGTTTTAAGTATTGTTAACAAAAAAGTATTAGGTATTATAACAAAGAAGTTTTAAGCATAAATAAACGTTGATGGAGTATGCAGGGCATTATTATTAACAAAGAAGTATTACTGCCAGGAGTAATAAGTATTATTTACAAATTAATGCTCTTCAACATGCCTGCTTCTTTCGGTACAAAACAATCAGTGCTCACCCATCGCTGATGAATGAGAGCTTAAAGACTACCCAGCAATGGGGACAAACTTCTTTTCAATTATAGGTAGATGCCAAACTGTGACTAGGGTATAAAAAGAATAAACTAACTTTGTTTAATAAATTCTTTTCTAAGTAATGAATTTCAGTAACATTTAGGCACACTACATAAATGAGAAAGAACTTCTGTATTCTGTCTTCTAAGCTTATGAACAGTTTTATTAATTTTTAAAAGTAAATATAAAATATATGAAAGTCTTTCAAAATTTAATTAATTTTTGTACATAATTTTGATGTTAAAAATAGGAATGTAGCAAATATTTGGACACTATTTGGTATTTGGCACATTTGCCAAATATTAATTTATTAATATAAGTATATTTGATTATTAATTTATTATATTTAATAAGTATATTAATTTATTAATATAAGTATTATTTAGAAAGGTATTTTCGACAAAGTTTTTTTGGGGTAAATTCAAATAGATTTAATGAAGAAAATTCTAATTTTTTTTTTACTATACATTCTTAGAAATAGCTTTAACACATATTTTTTAAATTCTGAAACTTATTTCTCTGTACCTATCAATAATACAGCTAAGTTTTGATTATTTTTCAATAATGACTAAACTTATTAACATCTAAAACTGAATATTACTGCGTATTCAGAAATAAAATATCTATTGTGATATTTTATTTACTTTGAAATTAGTAAGTTTCAATTAAAACTTAAGTTATACTTTACACACAAAAAATTAAGGACATAAATTTTTTTCAACTTTGAGAAATGAATATTCAAAATTAAGATTTACATTAATTAGTTTTTTAATTTTAACATTTTTATTAAGGCTATAATCAATTTTATTATCATCACTATTTCAAATTAATTTTCATGTGTACAGATTTTATATAAAATGCAATAACAATTTAATTTCAACACCTTAAGGACCAGTCTCCCGCCAGTCTGACCAAAAAAGCTCACTCCCACATTAACACTATCCTTAATGAGTTAAAACATAAACAAATTTTCTTTTATCTCATATTATAATTATAATTACACGAAAACTTAAAATAAAGTCTTTTTAGACTGAGCATTATTTATAAATAAATATAAAATGTAATAAAAGATTTAAGAATTATTTTATCCTATAAAATTGCTTATAAATATTTAACATTCATAAAGTAACAAATAATTAATGGCTTGTAGAAATCGGGACTTAAATTTTAATACCATTGCTTATGCATAATTATGTAAAAAGTATAAGATAACATTTGTATTTTAGTTTATTCGAAATATTTGTACAACACTGAAAATTGAAATTATTCTTTGTGAAATCTGAGATGGATTTTAAACTACTAACTAATATTTATAACCTTAAGAAATGAGGAGGCATAGGCAATTTTCAAGAGAAAAGGGCTAAGCATTTGTGGTAGAACACAGGTGGACAGCTTATGGTGAAGGCGAACAAATTTAGAATTATATAAAGAGCCTGATGACACATAATACTTGAAAATCCAAAGAATAAAGTGTGTTGCACATACGGCTAGAATGCAGGAAGACCAAAATTGTTGAAAACTATTTCTATCTAAGACTATAGGAATTAGACAAAGAGGCAGATATATCTTTAGATGGATCAACTGTTTCGAAAAAGACGTGGAAATTCTGAAAACAAAAATTGAAAGACAATCACCAAATAGGGAAATGCCCAAAAAAGACTCCTCGAGAAAGCCATGATCCACACAGGGCCATTGAAGAAGAGCTAATGCTTAAAAATTTATCAAAATCCAACCATATAATGTATACATTTTTACAGTGATTTTTATGTCAACGAAACGTAACATAGGTAAAAAGGTTGAGATAACTTTTATTTTTGTGTTTAATGTTATAAAAATCGAGCTGAAAAATGCTCAGTTGTCAACTTTGAACATAGAACAGAGAAACATTTATCAAAACACATTTCATATCAATAAAAAAACTCACCAATAGAATATACCAATCCAAGATTAGGAAAAGTTTCTCTGAGAACTTCTACAAACGATTCTCGAATTTTATGCATCTAAAGAAAATGAAACAACAAATTGAAAATCTTTAAGTTACAATAACACATCACATAAATAAGGCACATTTTGTATAAATTAGAGAAATAATAATACAATTATTTTATTACAGAATGCCTACATTATAGTTTATCTTTGCTAATAAAAAAACAGGACAATTAACAAAAAACAAGAATAAATATTAATTGCCACCTCTGTGAAATATTCTTTTTATAAACAAATTCAGTTTTGAGGTATCTTATCTTTCTAAATTTTGTCCATTTCAGATAGAGTCTCAGGGCAATACATACACAAACACCAAACACACACAGATATATATATTTCAATAACACAACGA